CACGGTAAATACCTAATGTGATACTAGTCGTCACATAATTTGGGACGTCCCAAATAGTTTGGTTTACATCCCTAGTTATATGTTTTATTACAGTTTGGGAGCACTTTACTAAAAACCTAACCAGGGATGATCAATATTTTCATCCTTTGACTGGTTATTTCCTTTTTAGGAGTTTTTGTATTGTCGCCACAAATAAGAAGGCCTGTGTGAGATCCTTCAATAATTTCTAGTTTTATTCTGCTTCGAGTGCAAAATGTGGGATATTATTTCACCTCTTATTAAAGGAATTCAAGATGACCTTACAGATGAATTAAAATATCTTAAACTTAAGCATGAAGTTAAAGATTGTCATGAACTTATTCAAAGGCTGGCCGCAAGAGCCAAACTTGATCCTTTAAGCGTGGAATTTTCTCAGCATCTTGATAAAAACGATAAACTAAGTCACCTGAGAGAGGAATTTAGTATTCCAAAATCGGGTGATGTTACCCTCAATGATGTTGGTACGCACTTTTGTTGGCTCGCACTTTTGTTGGCTCGGAGATGGATTTTAATGTGTTAGAAGTTTAATGAAAATTCGTATTTTATTTGATGTAAATAGTGTCAAAGAACCCTAATGAACCAAGCTTGTATCTTTGCGGGAATTCTCTCGGTCTAATGCCAAAGCGCGCAAGGATATTAGTGAATCAAGAACTAGACGTGTGGGCTAAATAGTACATACCAATTTTCATACTTTGAAGCTATATAAGTTTTATCAAAATTAACGTTCTTTATAAAATATATAATATTTAGTGGCGTAAATGGTCATTTCACCCATCCGAATAATCGTCCATGGGTATCTATTGAAGATACCGTGGTGGAAAAAATGGCTGATGTTGTTGGTATGTCGATTTATTTGAATATATATACAGTCAACTTTCAATATAACGAACTGACGGGCTTTTATAGCGGAAAGTTTCTATGCCGAACTTTAAATTTTTAAGAACAAAAGTTCGTTATAGGGTGGGCTCCTCATGAAAGGTTCGTTATAAAGAGAGTCGACTGTACTGACACAGTGGCTAATTGTTTAATAATATAATAGGTGCAAAGCCTATCGAAATAGCAATAATGAACACACTTACTTCAAATCTTCATCTACTCATGGCTTCGTTTTATACACCAACAAAACATAGAAACAAGATTCTAATTGAAGCTAAAGCTTTCCCATCGGATCAGGTTAGTGTGATTCCATATACAACTCACTTTCATTATAGTGAACTCTCAATATTGTGAAGATTTTTAAACTTCGACTTGATATAGTAAAATAAATATTGAATACACTCGATACAAGCTATAGTGAAGACTTTTTTTCTCAGCTCGATGATTTCAATATAATGAGAGTGAGTTGTACTAACTTTTTCAAATTCTTTTATGACTTAAAACACGAATTATTTTATATGATTTCAATTAGTATGCGGTTGAATCCCAAATTAAATTTCATGGTTATGATCCTGCTACAACACTGATAAAGGTTAATCCACCTCCTGGCGAATACATTATAAATTTGAATGATATCTTGGAAACGATTGAAAAAGAAGGTTCTTCGATCGCTTTGATTCTTTTCAGCGGTCTTCATTATTATTCTGGGCAACTTTTTAAATTGAAAAAGATAACTGCTGCTGCTCAAAAGAAGGTAGAATATACATATATATAAATATATTCTATTATTGCTATTTTAATACTGTATCTTTGTGATTCATATTTTTTAGGGATGCATTGTTGGTTTTGATTTGTGTCACGCAGTGGGTAATGTAGTTCTCAAACTTCATAAGTGGAATGTTGATTTTGCGGTGTGGTGTACATATAAGTATATGAACTCTGGTCCTGGTGGTATTGCCGGTATCTTCATTCATGAAAAACACGCACACGATTTTAATCGACCTAGGTATAAATTATTAAACTTTGTTAAAATAATTAAAATAATGGAAATTTCATAATGTGTTGTTCACTTTTAAATTGATAGATTTGCAGGATGGTGGGGTTCCGATAGGAGATCGAGATTCCAAATGGATAAACGTAAGAATGTTTGCTTATATAAAAATATCTGAATTATTGCCACATGGATTTTTAATATAGTGCTTATATTATAGCGTTTAACCCCATCCCTGGCGCTGGAGGTTTCCAAGTCTCTAATCCCTCAGTGTTGAATACAATCTCACTTCTTGCAAGTCTTGATGTATTCGCACAAACCAGTATGGTTCAGCTTCGAGCAAAATCAATTCTTCTCACTGGTTATTTGGAGTATCTTTTAGATAAGCAACTTAATGGATTGGGATACAAAGTTATCACGCCGCGTGATCCTCATCAACGTGGTTGTCAAATTTCTCTCGTGTTCGATGAAGATAAATTAGATAAGGTGATTAATGGATTGATGAGCTACGGTGCAGTCGTTGACGAAAGAACTCCTGATTGTATCAGAGTAGCACCTAATCCTATGTATAATAATTTTTCGGAAGTATTTAGATTTGTCAAAGCTTTAAAAATTGTTATGGGGGATTTGGGATTTAAATTTGAGGTCAAAAAGTAATTCAATTATAAATTTAAAATTTGTTTCTATTGTTTATTATCTGTGTACGGTCAACTCTCTATACCGAACCCTTGGGGTTTATTAAGAAAACAGCTTCTAAAAGTTCGGTTTACAAATGTACTTAGTATTTAATCCGAATTTTTATAAAAAATTAGAAATATTAAATCGAATTTTCATTTATAGTAACACTTTTAGCAAAAAGTATTCAAAAAATTATCAGAAATATAACGGTGGTAATAAGATGATCTAAGAAGCAAACTTAATGTCTAAAATTTGTCTAGTACCGTATTTTATTTGAGACGCGTAATTTTGAAGAGAGCTAAAAATTAATATTAAAAGTTCGGCTAAATTAATTATTAGCTTTCTTCAAACCACGTACTTGGAATAAAGCTTATAAGCGTTATTTAGCACAAATACGGTAAGATTTAAAATATTTAAACTATGTTTTAATTAACAAATTAGTGATTTAAATCTATAATAAAAATTATATTAATTATAATTTATAAATCTTTTAAGATAATTACTCTTATTAATACTGTAATAGAAGATTAATATATTATAAAATCAAAAAGCAATTTAATATAATGTTATAATAGGTACAGTATGTAAAAAAATAAATTTGTTATAAGGCCATGCAAATTAAATTAGTTGTTTCTCTTTACATGGGACAAGCAAATAATACCGGCTGGCCGGCGAAAAATGTTATATTTAAAAAATTTTTTTTCATATAAAATTTTTTTTTTTCATTCAAGAATAAAAAATTTGATATATAAAAAATTTTTAACTATTTTAAAAAAGTTACCCGGCCGGGTAACGAGAAGCATCTCTTTATTTATTTGCATGGCCTAATCATAATTTATCTATCAAAAAAGTTGGGTTTGTTTCTAGCACGACTCACCATATCATAAACGCGTAAATATGTACACTAGACATGAGTATGGACAGACAAGAATTTACAAAATTACGTTTTTGAACCAACTACGTAATATATTGGAAATTAGTTTCAATAGGGTTAAAATTCATGTAAACCAGACTGCTTAAGTATATGTTCTTATCATTATATAAAGTGCATGTTAGTACGTTTTTCAATTATAAAATTAACGTTAACGTGATTCATTTCAGATCTAAAGGATATAATGCAAATAAAAGATAATATGAAAAATAAATATTAGTACGTGATATGAAGTCTACAGCTTAGGAGTACTATAAATTCCAATTATAGAAGATTTTTAACCATGGAACATCTTCATTTAGATAATCTTTGGCTTTACTAAAGATCCTCGATCAAATTATGGATTCAAAAATATTAACTAATAAAATATCGATATGTGAGAGAGGTATTAACTATTAAATGCTTTAAACATTCCTTCAATCGTTATTTGCATTTCTTCAATAATATTTTAACTAGTTTGCCTTTTTAGCAAGTAGCGTATCTGAATTCCCAAATATTCGTAATTCTTTCAATGGTATGTCAATTTTGGCATCTTTAATTGCAATCTACACGTAACCGTTTCCGTAAAATGATGTAAACAACTCAGAAGCTTTGTTTTTTTTTAAAAAAAAAAATATACAAACTTTTATGAACGCGTCTTCTATTATATTAGTTCCTATTTCAAATTCTTTGATACAACGCAAAAAATTGACAAATGTAGAGCCGGGAATAAAAGTTTTCATCAAACAATTAATTATCAAATATTAAATAATTATTGAGATCGTTTTCGCTTTTTTTATTTTTCTATTTTTTTTTTATTAATTACGTATTTTTATTACATTGCAAAGAGAAAATTTTCAAAAATATCCAATAACTTCTGCTAATACATCCAAAAATAATAATTCTCAAAGTTTGGTTGGTTCATCTCTTTTTTTTCTTTTAGAAAAATTTTAACATGCCACCTCATATCACATCATTTCTGAGGGATTAGTTATAACACTAATAGGAACTTCTAACTTCAAAGGTGTCAACATAAATTTATCGAATCTTATTGTCATAATAATCTCGTGTTTGATTTCCAAGAAAGAAACATTTGAATCAGGTTTCATCCGATGATGAATTGGAATTTCGAACGAGACAGGACAGGAGACCTCAGATGATATAGGGATTGAGAGAGGTGGTGAAAGAAGTGGTGTGGTATGATGAGGGTTTGGTATGGAGACATTAGAAAATGCTGAGATTTTAGCACCAGCTCGCGAAGTCGGTGTTACGGATTTTTTGACAGGTGTTGATCTAATAATTTTTCATAGTTATTAATTTCAAGAAAAGATCATAAAATTAAATAGTTACAGTTTCATCATACATACGATTTTGATGTACTAGAAGCGGGTGCAGATCCAGTAATCGTTCCAAACTTAGCAGAGTTATACATCTCATACTCGAATGCTTCAACTTTAACTTCTTTAACACCAGCATTATCCAACGATTCAAAAGTAGCTTCAACTTTGATAATACCACGCGGTTCCTCCGAAGTATTTTCGTCCGCATTACCTTCCTCGCCAGCATCATCTTTAATGGCCATGTATTTAGGAACAAAAACTTTATATTTTAACAATCCTTCACGTTCATCCTCGTAAATAACTTTTTCATTGATATCTACACCATTCGTTAATGTGTTTTTTCGTAAAATTACATTTTTCGAAATTTTGTAAATAGCATGCGGAGATGCTTTAGTCAGTTCAGCAGTAAGCACGTATCTAATCGCTGCATGTTTACCCTCAACACTGGCTGGAAGATTTACCGGTGCTTTCAATGAGATAGCGAACGGAAGCGATGTTTCACCAGGATTAAAAGTTTTTGTAATATTTACAACAGTAAGTTTTTGTTTAATCAAATCTTTGGTAGTTAAATTCCGTGTTGTGGCTTTTTGTGAGTTATTTAATTGTGCAAATCCGTGAAGTTTTAAAATTACTTGAGTAACTTTTAATGGGGACGAAAGATTAATTTGGATGTTGCCTTTGATCGTTAGAGGACTGGTTGTGTTACTTGGTAAGTAAAGGCTCGGTGATGTGAGAATTATGTCACATGATTTTATTTCTTTCATAGACATTTTTTTTTTATTTTTTTTTTTTATAGATCTAAGCGCAAGTAATTATATCAAAGTGCAAAAAAAAAATAAAAAAAAAATAAAAAATTGGCAAGATTTCGTATATGTAAGGCAATGAGAAATATGAGAAAACAAGTTAGATACAAAAAGGAATAGTGCCTTTTGACGAACAGGGCTAAGTATTTATGTATTATTTATACGTACGCCCCAATATGCGGATGATGAATATTAGATGATTGGATACCCCACATTTGTTCTTTGTCCCTGTAATCATCTAAATCAAGCAAATGTAGGTCCATTCAAATTTATTTAATAAAATTTGTTATAAATGCACTGCGCCATAGGAATAAAACTAAGTCCCGAGAATAGTTTACTTTATTTACTTGTGCATGAGGCATATGGTATTGCAGTATAAATTAGGACAACATACGGGATTCTGATAAATTTAGATAGTACGTACGGTAAAACATATTCTTTTTTTTTCAAGTGATTTAAGTTAATATTAAAGTACGTACCAACGAATTTCTTTTCTTATGGTAAAATAAATCTTTTTTTTTCTTTTTTTTTGCAGTCACACATATCAGAATTTAATTTCCATGTGCCCGTCTTAATATGACTGTACTACTTTATACCTTTCTTGGTGATTTCTTCTTCAAATTCTATTGGAGTACATAATTTTATACCTAATTTATGAAGCAATCTTTCCGGTTGGTCCAACAATTTGGCAAAATTGTTTTTGACAAACCTAGTTATTTTTCAGATCATCTATATTAATATTTGTATTATCATATGGAAATTATGAAAGAGTACAAGTAGTACGTATGCACCAAGAACGCGCGCAGGTTGTTTTTCCACGTTCGTATGCTTGCATAGCAGATAGTGAAAGCCATGTCGTACATATTACGACAACATACTTTTTATAGTAAAACTTATTTATTTAGAAAGAATACTTTACGCAACAATATCTTTAAAAATTTTATATTTAATAAATTTATATCTTTTTAAGTAAAAAAAAATACTGTAAAATTTAAAATGTTTTATTAATTAATTTTATTAAAAATTTTTTAAGTAATAAATACTGTATAGTACTATATTTAAAATAAAAAAAATTTTATAGTAAAAAATCAAAATAAAAAAACTTCAAACTTTATATATTTCTGAATCTAAAAAAGATACTGTATGCATAATAATAAAAGTTGTTATTTTTTATATAAATTACAATATAAACAGTATATTGATTAACAGCTATATTGTTAATAAAATTAATATCATGTTAGTAAAAAAATTTAATAAACAATTAATAAGATTATTGGTTGCTTTTAGTCCTGTGCTAAGTAATAGATTTTTTGCATTATAATTGTTTTTAAAAATAATTTTTTCTAAAAGTAAATATTTATTTTTGTATAAAGTTTTATATACGTAGCTCTTTATTTATTCTGACTAGTTTGTTTTATATATATAAAAATACTTAAAAGTTTAGTTCTTAAAGAGTTATTATAATGCTAATTCGAACTTTACTATATAATATGTTTTAGAGCTTTATGTTTAGTTCTTATAAAGTTTATTAAGAATTTAATCATTTAGATTTAGATTAGAGAGAATTAATTATATATGTGTTCTATTATAAATTTTTTGTGATTTCATATACGTATATAGCTGCTACATATATATACATAATCAAAAAAATCAATTCAAATAATTTAATATTAAAAACTGCTATGATACCAAGGTTGTTTTATTAACTATTTCTTATTATTACTACAGTATAATTGTAAAGTATATAGATAATTTATACGTACGATTTATTTATCATTGATATATTTATATATTTGTTTGTTTGTTTGTTCGTAATATATACTGTATAATACCAGAATTTAAAAAAAAAAAAAAATCAAAGCCCTGAACGAAAATTAAAGTGTCAATTAAGGCTGAAAGAATAATTATGAAAAAAGTATTAGTATATTTACTATATATATAATATAAAACTAGATTTATAATAAAATTATCACCGATCTAAAACGTGTAATAATGTAACAATTTTAATAAATTTTTTTTTTTTAGAAATTAGTTTATTCTCATCACTACAGCACTTTATATAATTTTACATATTAAGAAGCTTTACTATAATTTTATCGAGCATGTACACTATTATCTTTGATTGGTTCTATGCATAGATCTGAATATATTATCTTCTAACTGTGTAACAGACCCTTGTTTTTTACTTTTTACCTCAAATCAAATCTAAGTATCAGACCCGGGTATATGATTATTTTCCCGATCTAAATTCAATTAATCATTGTGCAGAAATCATACTTTGTATTGTAATACTTTGTTAATATAAATAGTTCCTGATGACGGGAAGAGAAACCTGAAAATCATTTCACTCATTGTTATCGCAGTGATATCTACCCGCGATGACAATGATTTACAGGTTTTCTCTTCCCGTCACTTAAATATTATTATAATTATGCTTGTGTGGCGCAATTATCGTAAATAATCTTTAAGTGCACATTTTTTATTTAAAGTAAATAATGCAGGTTTTAAACCACAACCGAAATGATACAAATCTGCTGAAAATTCGACGGTTTTCACCATGTTCTTTTATAATTCTCTTTCTCTAATGAATGATTCAAAGCAAGAATTTTGAGTTTAACGGAAAGCAAGAATAAAGAACTGAATAAGAGCTCTTGAGTTTAATGGAAAGCAAGAATAAAGAAATTCCGAGTTTAGTGGAAAGCAAGAATAAACTAAATAAGAGCTTTTGAGTTTAATGGAAAGCAAGAATAAAGAATTTCCGAATTTAGTGGAAAGCAAGAATAAAGAACTGAATAAGAGCTTTTGAGTTTAGTGGAAAGCAAGGATAAAGAGCTGAGTAATACTTACACGTTTTCTCAACGAAAAAGGTGTGATGATGACACAGTACTAAAAAGATATGAGTGCCGTTAAAAGAAAACCTACAATCGGGCTTTCAAGTATATTTTGTGTACAGTTGGTTATCTGTGTGCTGTCTATGGTAAATCTGTGTCCGATGCTAGAACCATAGACAACCAACTGTACACAAAATATACTTGAAAGCCCGATTGTAGGTTTTCCTTTGACGGCACTCATATAAAAAATTTCGAATATTTACTAATACAAAATTAATATTTTTAGAAAAATAGAGGACTTTTTTGAAATCGAGAATTTATATCAAAGGAGTGTCTGGGTTGAGAGGGAAGAAGATGCGTTGAGTTAATAAAAGTATTTTAGCCCTATTAGAAATTAAATGGTAATTTTTCTTATTAAGTTACATGTTAAATCATTATGTATCTGAAGGTACGCTTCAAATCGGTGCAAATTATCTGGGAATTAAAAGCACACATCAGGTCATATTTGTGAATTTTCTTCCCAGTTACCGATAATCCCACAGAAGCTTGTAGAATGGGGATTAGGATACATGTTGCTTAACTATATATGATAATAATACATGCACTCACCCATGATTATTAATTTAGAAAGCCTGGTAATAAAGGAAGAGGCATCATTTGTAAAATTTTTGGGCTTTCTTTTAATATTTCTTAGTCATTTGAGTCTTCTTTTTCATAATTTGTTACATTTCATAGGTATGCTAAATATTTATATAATAATTCTTGACTAATCGATAGTGCTCGACAAAATCAACCAAAAATTCGACAGTCAAATATTTGTGATTAAGTTGGACATCAAATAATATATATTCAGTTTTTGTTGGTTTGATTGTGCCGAGCACTACTAATCGATAATCATTCATTAGATTAGTGCCTTACTTGCATTACTTCCGTCTTTTTAACTCAATTTATATTTATATTATATAGAATTAATTAATACTTTTGAAGCAGTATGACTTATCAGTTATCAGGTAAAGTTACGTATCTATTTAAATTGGAAAGCATCACAGAATCATCGCAGTAATGTAACTACTTTTTTTTTTTTATCAACATTACTTTAGAAATTGTCAAGTAATATCCCAAATATTAAACTATGCTTCGTCAAATCCTATAAATTATATAGGTAAATTAATTTCACATTTATTTAATAAACTGTATGTTATGTATTACATGTGGATGAATTGAAGTAGGAAAGGCGAAAGAGGTTGTTGATGAAAAAGACAAGGCGAAAGAGATTATTGCGAAGGGGAGGCAATGATTTGAATACAGTAGTTAAGAAAATTTGGGATATTGGTGGGTGCTAAAGTTTATAAAATTTCAGGTGAAGTGATAGAGAGGGCTAGAACATTAGAATGTAATATTGGTAACTTATTATAATTTACGTAAAGAGATTGTTTGGAAAAAATCATTTTTACTTTTTCTATATAAATAAAATGAAATATATTTTGTCAGTAAATAATTGTCGGTGAAATATGGTGTCAATGAATTGATCAGATCCCAATAAAAAGTTATAGTATGTTATTGACTATCAATTTTCTAAAGTGGCGTAATATAAAAATTTACTGGATTTATTTTTATTAATTTGCTAAAAACATAGATTTTCACCAATTTTTTAGCGGAAGCACCAGAGTTTCATTAATAACATAGATTTTTAGTAATATTCACTTTTTTTTATTTTTTGTTTGTTTGTTTTTTTTTAGTGGGAGCACTAGGGTTTTGTCAGTTTAAGTTTGGGGTTTCAACTTTCGTCATAAGGATTTGAGGGTTTCGACCTTCGTCAGAAGAATTTGAGATTAAATTTTTCTAATGATTGTCTGATTGTCTTTAACAATCAATTTACTTTTTCTGTATAGATAGGAGGACGTTCTCTCCCATCTTCTGTCTCGAAAATTTTCAAAATCTTTTTACTGCATCGTTCTGAAATTTTCCACTAGAAAATAGAAATAGAGAATTTAGATTAAATTTTTTATACTACGTATTTTTAGCATATGAAAGTTAATTTATATAACAATACTACTGCATTCACTTATTTTTTTACTCTTCTATTAATAAATTTACTAATTTGTAAATATTTTGTTACAAAATTTTATATAAAATATCTGTAAAGCAATATAAAGATAATGAAATAGAATTTAATATGGGCAGCTGTCAATAGAAATCAAGCAAATCTAAATTTGAAAAAAAATTAATGCCTTAATTTTCACAGTTCATATCTTGATGAATTTTAAAGCTATCTTGATGATTTAATATTCAAAAGAAAACTTATGATCCAAGCTTTCTTTTGAACATTCAACTATTAAGATAGCTTTAAAATTAATCGAGATATGCTGTGAAAATTAAGGCACTAATTTTTTTTCAAATGTAGATTTGCTTGATTTCTATTGACGGCTGCCCATATAAATAAAGCTGGCCCTGGTAGCTGATTTCGCACACATTATCAATTTACTTACCAAATTTTTTCCAAGCATACCGTGTCAAACAACTAGCGGCTTGATTTTCGATAGGGTTTGGGAAAGTCAAAGAGATAGGATAAACAACATCTTATCTCTTTACCACTGATCTGAAGAAATCAACGTGGTATTTCCTTCGAGCATTGAACCAAATTTGCGCCCACCTATCGGCCCAATGTTATTATTACTAATATTCAACCTATAGGCAGAAATATGCTCAGCCGCCTCTTCGCGGAGATTAAGTGCACGTTTATACTAATATACTGTATATTAACCTGCATATGAGAAAATTTTTAAAAATTGGATCGGGTATATAATGTTTTTATTTTGAATATATAATTGCTTTGTTAAGAGAATTAAATTCTAAATTTACAGTTGCAATTATCGAACTCAGAAAGAAGAATAAGAATGCTAAAGTTGAGGCTGAATATATATAAGTGTTCTCCAATGAGCCGGCTTAAATGGGCTTACTCAATATTCCCATTGGCTCATTAAGGCTTATTTAACGCATTTATACGGAGATCTGGTTTTGATGAAATGTGTTTTTTCTATTTTTACCTTTACCTGATTGTATGTATTAGATCCATTTTTAGCCAAAAAGGTTATTTATTGCTTCACAAAGTTGAATAGTTTATGGCTGTGCAGAGCAGACTTCACAGAGCCCTAGAAAATTTCGTGAATGTATTTTTAAAAGAATATACAATTTTTTTGCTATTATGTCAGAAAAATGATAAGTTTCTTGGGATATATTGCTTTATATTTTTTTTCATTCAGATTTTTTGCCACCATGATGAATTGATAATCTAAAGTTTCTACTTTGCAAAAAGCTAAGCATTCATACAATTAATTAATTATAAGCAAATGTTAGCGTATAGTGATCTAAGTTTGGTGAAACGTGGCTTTGCTACCGGTTGTAATCCATTTTTGGTGAAAAATGGCTAAAAAGGATAGTTCAAATAGATTGGTCTTGCTATAACAAAAAAATTTTGACAGTTTTTTGTAAATATCTTACATATGGGCTGCCATCAATAGAAATCAAGCAGATTTACATTTAAAAAAAAATTGATCCCTTAACCTTCATAGCCTATATCCCGATGAACTTTGAAGACATCTTGACAAATTAATATTCCAAAGAAATATCAAAATCTAAACTTTTTTTTTGAATATTAATTCATCAAAATTCATCGAGATATAGGTTATGAAAGTTAAGGAATCGATTTTTTTTAGTCAATCTGCTTGATTTCTATTGACGACAGTCTATATGGTTAATTTCGCTGTTTTTGCTTTACATATTTCTCCATTCAAATTTTCATATACAAGCAAAATATATGTTGGTGGGTTAAGAAAATTTTATAAAATTTTTATATATGAAATTAATAGCCATCATCATGGTTCCTGGAACAACTGATAAAAATTGTCTGAACGGCTTCTCGGTTAAGTTTGTGATTTTGGGAATAATAGATTCAATAATTTGATATATCTGGCCACCAAGGAATAAACTTCTTATCAGGCTTTCAATTATATTTTGAACTGGGCATAATTTTTAATAAATTAGATTGTGTCCAATACAAAATTTAATTGAAAGCCCGATAACAGGTCTTCTCCTGATAACACTTTTATTATCTTTTAATCTCCTCCCAATCACAAATTCAACTATAATTTATAGTTATTGTATGGGTATGTAGTGAATAACCCACGGGTTCATATTTCGTGCCTTCGGCACAGATTTAAATATGAACCCGTGTGTGTAACTATACAATATATAACTATCTTATTGCACGGTGTCTGACGTAACAATCCCGCGCCAATAAGTAAATGAAAAAAGCACGGGTTGTTACATAAGACCCTATGGTCTTACTCTTTTTTCTTTTTTTTGTCTATAATCATTTTGAATATTTTAGCTAGATTAAAAACTCACTGGTCTAGTGCGACGGTTTCTCTTGTTAATTTATACGATATTCTTGAATATATATATCATATATTACACAGCTTACATAAGCCAATGGGTATAATAAGCCTATTTGAGCCGGCTCATTGGAGGACACTATACTTGGTTTAAATTAAGCCAGAGAATTAGTGGACCAAAAAATGCAATCGATTAGTTGGCCAAAAATTTTTTAAAAAATCGATTAATCGATTAGGTGTTCTCAAGCACCTACCTCAATGGACTCGATAACGAATCTGATTAGTCAGTTTAATTAAACTAACCAATCAGATTTTTTATTGAATTCATTGAGGTGGATGCTTGAGAACGCCCTTACTATTAACTAATCGATTAATCGTCAACAATCGATTAGTTGTCTAATAAAACTATTAATTGATTAGTTGCCAATTCAATTAATTAATCGATTTTCAATTTGGAACACTAAAACTAAAAAAAAAGAATATATCATACGAGTAAAAATTGTATTATTATAAAAGAAATTTTTTATTCAAGTTAATAATGCGGGTATTTGATTTTTTATTGGGTGGGTCAACATGTGTTCCTATCATTAACTACTTTAGTAGGTTTAGGTTGCAGATAATTAGTTTAGCCAAAAGTTCACTGAGCTTTAGTTGAGCTTCTAGTCTGAGCTCTTGTTCTGCAGATTCTCGATTTTTATTGGCTAAGAGCGACGATCAAAAAATTAGGCCGGAATTACTCATCATAATTTTACTAATGAGTGTTCCTGGGTCAATTTTACCATAATGCGGGCTTATTTTTTAAGAATTTCTATTTTTGTAATGAAAAAATTAAAAGTTTGTAATGTGAGCCAAAATTTTGAAGATCCTCGGCCGTTAGCCAATCAAAATCGAGGATCTGCCGGTCCAAATCTTAATCACACGCCTTAACCAAAACAGAAAATCATCGTCCCTGATCAAGGTGTAACGTGATAATCAAATCAGTTTAAATTTGCACGTTTTTGATTTTTTTCATTCTTCGCCTGGTTCACTGCTTCTTCGCAATACACGCTATACTCCGTGATGTCCAGCCTTTTTGCATCTCCCCTGTTTTAAGGTCTACTGGTTTTCGGAAAAGGGATCGGTTACGTTTCTTAATCTATCAGCCAAAAAATCTGGGCATAGAGGTTTTAGTTAGCGAACTAGGTCAAAAGCTTCTGTACGGGAGGTGCGGGAGCGAGGTTTTTTTTTCTCAACCAATGAGATACACCTCTACGTGGTGGTTGGGACAAGTAGGAGAGATAAACTCCGAAACTAAGTATCTCAGACTTTCTGTTGTGTATTTTTATTATATTATTTATTAAAAAAATTTTTTATGTAAAATATAATTATTTATTTAAACTTTTTTATTAAATGTAATAAACTTAATAAATTTAATAAATTGAATTTTATAAATGAAAAAGTATCTAAATTGTACGTATATAAATGTGAAATTTTGAAAAAATTGCTATATTGTTCGATATGCGCCCAACATTAGTATATAACAACTCGCCATAATATAACATGAAAAAAGCCACGTAATCGTTAATAAACTGATAATTGAACAAAAAATATTTGCTTTAGATTTTAGACACTCAAAAATGTTTTATGAAAACCTTTCACCTTAAAACATTAAAAACAGATTTTTGAGCATCTTCGTAACAAAAAAAAAATCAAATGTAATTAATAAATCTTGGTTGACATCGTGAATTTTGCATTTCCTGGTTCTGTATCATTCAGTTATTACAGCCGTCAACTAGCAGTTTAATTATCAAGAAAATATTTAAAATTTCTAAATTCGACTTGTTGCAATTAGAAAACACGAATTTTTGAAAGACCAATTTTTGTTGGAATCATAATTGAATAAAAACTAATTGCTTTAATACATTGACTTTAGCTTATACAATTACATGAGTCTTAATGTTACATATCATAGAATATTTTTGAAATCCTAAATTCCTGAATAAATATCATAGAGGAAAAAAAATATACTAATCCATATACATAAAGTGTTTTTTTTGTGTTGCATAAAAAAAGATAAAAAAAAGATAATCCAAATTACTCAAATCGAGTAGCAGGATTGAATGTGCATAAAAACAAACGACTAACGAGAAATAAGTTAGTCTTTTTTTTTTTTTTTTTTGTCGTTTTGGCGCTCTTAAAATAAAAATAAATTTGTAAAAAAAAAAAAAAATAAACTTTCAAATATAATAAAGGAAGAACAAAGTATAAAAGGAAGAACAAAGTTAAAAAAAAAATAAAAATAAAAATAAAATAGAATAAATATGTAAATAAATAAATACAAATTTACAAAAATCCCATACGCCTCAAATGTCCATAAATTTACAACATCTTTGTTATTTGTTATGGAAGAATTTACTCATTCGATTCGTTGGCACCAAGCCACTGTTCTAGCATTTCCTTGAGTTTTGCAATTTTCAATGGCTTAGTAAGATAATCATTCATACCCGATTCTAAGCATTGTTCTTTCGTACCCTGAACAGCCGAAGCAGTCAATGCGATAATTGGAACACTAGATATCGGTGTATTCATGGCTCTTATTGCCCTGGATGCATCAAATCCTGACATTATTGGCTATTTGTTAAAATAAGTGGAAATTATTATCGTTAGTTATTAATATTATTTTTGATAAAACAAAATTTATCATAAATTTTTTAGTTAAATGGTGACTTACCATAGCACAATCCATCAAAATTAAAGAAATTCTTCCAGGATTAGAATCTTCAGAAGTCGAAGTATAATTTGAATACTCAGATTCTATTAAATTTACAGCTTCTTGTCCATTTGTGGCACACAATGATGGATATCCAAGTTTTGAAAGTTGATGTTGAATAACTTTCAAGTTTATGGGATTATCTTCCTGTAATATATCCAAAAGAAATGTGATTAAAAGAGAAAAAAAAATACTAATCAAATCTATTGTTATTTAGAATTCGAAAACTTACCACACATAAAATACATTTAGATTTGGAAACAGGTCTAAATCTGAATTTTGATGCACGATCATCATTTGAAGCTGAGGTGTTTCCTGCTTCATCATTTGCTGTTCTTTTCACTCCTAATTGTGTTGGTTCAACACTTTTACCTTTACCCTTGATCGATGATTCAGCTGGTACATAAACTTTAGGCAAGTCATCACTCTCCATCCTTTCAACATTAGATTTCGCAGTTTCTTCACTAGTTTCAATCATTGGATTTTTCTCTGCACTAGATGAATCTTTTGCAGTTAAATCTTTTTCTTCACTAAATGGAGGTCTATTATTACGGTAAAAATCTTCAATTCTCAAGTCGGCTAAAGGTTTAACTGAACTATAGTATTCATTTTGTATTGACGGAGCATAAGGTTCAGATACAAAATCTTTTGAGAAAAGGCAATGAAGCAAGCGTTTTTGCATAACTGGTTTACAAATTATGCATGTTTTACCGCCAATTTCTTGAACTAGATTTTGTCCTAATGCCCTACCATTTGCTGACCAAAACACAATTAAGACGATACATAAATTATCATCACAAATTCTGCGTAGTTCCTTGGCAGCATTTTTAATTTCTTCGGAATTATTTTCACGAACATTGAAAAATACAATATCATATAAAGCTTCGTTATTATATTGTTCTCTCCATGCTTTTACGGCTGTTATACTTTCTTCACATGAGCTAAAATGATTTACTCTTTCAACGCTACCTTCCACCAATTTAACCAATGTTTGGCGGGACAAGAACGAGTAGTCCACGATCAAAACGCGTTTAGAACGTCCAGATGAATGTATCATATCTGAAGATTGAGATAATGTTGATATAGGAACGGCGGATAATGCTAATCGCTCAATATTCCAAGTGAACCAAAATCGACTTCCTTTTTTCACTTCACTTTCCACATCTATTTCACCTCCATTGATTGTAACTAAATGTTTGCAAATTGAAAGACCAAGACCTGTACCATCTTGACGTCTTGTCATGGATTGATCACCTTGTGAAAAGCTTTCCCAAATACTTTTAATAAATGCTGGATCAATTCTGATTTAAAATTAATAAAAATATTATTATATAAATTGAAATGTTAAAGGTATAATAAGTAACTATAAAAAAGTTGTGAATAAATAAATACCCAATTCCAGAATCAATTACTTCCACGCATAATTTTCCTTTTTTGACATTTTCATCACTTGTACTACTCTCACCATCAAGTTCTTCTAATGAAACTTTAAGAACAACCTCACCAGTGTCAGTGAATTTTAACCTATAATATAAAAAGAGGTTATTATTTTTTTTTACTGGTAAAAGCGGAGGATGAAACAAAAAAAAAAAACTTACGAATTAGATAACAAGTTTATCAACACTTGTTGCAACCTTTCAGGATCCGACTTTACATATTTAGGTAACGAATCAGGATCACAACACAAGATCAATTCAATTTGCTTATTACCCGCATTTTCACCGAATAACTCAATAGTTTTTTCCATAAAATCAAATAAGTCAAATGTCCTATTCACTAATGTTATTTTTTGCGCTTCAAGTTTCGCTGCGTCGAGAATGTCATTCACGACTGATAGTACAACATCTGAAGCTCTAGTCATGATGTGAACCATGTCTTTTTGATCTTCGGTTAATGGAGTATCTTCGAATGCCGATAGGACACCAATAATGGCTCCAAGCGGAGTTCGTAACTCTTTTTTAAAAGAAAAAAATTATATTAGAATAATATAATTACATTAGAGAGATTTTAAATAAGTGTTTGTATAAAATAAAGTACCATGAGAAGTATTAGCCAAAATTCTGCTTTTAGCTTCATTAGCAGCTTTAGCAGCTTCTATCTGTGCTTCTCGTTTCAATTTTTCTTCCATTAATTTTGCATGAGTGATTGCCAAACTAATTTGGTTTGTTATTTGTTGTAAAAAGGTCTTTTCAGAATTCAACCATTGGTTATTGGGAGGTCGATTTGCCACCAACCATCCCCAAGTAATTGAATTTTCTCTAATTGGAATCGAAATTAATGAAACAGGTTTATTTGCTACTATTGAACTAAAATTCAAAAGCACGGTAACATCTGTTTCCCGACTATAATCCAATGAATCTTTAATTATGTGTTCCAAAAGTGGTTTAATACTCTCACTACTTGCCGCAGCAGCAGCTTCAGCTTCAGCTTGAATATCACCTCCATATGTGTATTGGAATTTTAAACCTTTCATATTTTGTTCATTTGGATCTGCTGCTGCATAAGCCATAATTTCATGATTCGCAAAGGTTTGATTCTCAGATGCGAGTATGAATACTCTGTCAGATGGTAAAATTCGAAGAATTTCTTCAACAGCTGTTGTCAATGTTTTATCTAGACTTAGACCTGAACGAATTTTGTTACTAATTGAAAATAATAATTGTTTCGTTTCAGATTGTCGACGTTGTTGTAGCAAAAGTTGTTGACGAAGGTAGGAGAGTCTAATATTCACGCGAACACGTGCAATTAGATCTCTAGTGCTAAATGGTTTCGTTAAGTAGTCATCAGCACCTTTTTCTAGCCCTATTAAAGTAATAAAATTAATTAAATATTAATAATAAATAAATAAATATATATATGAAGAATAAATTTCGAATTATATATATACCTTGAATGCTAGCTTCTTCACCGGCTTTTGCTGATAATAAAATTACAGGAATCAATTGCAATACAGGATCAGATCTTATAGCACTTAACAATTGGTACCCATTCATATTTGGCATCATTATATCTAAAAATTAATAAGTTTATTTATTTTAGTAAAAACAATCACCATAAATTTTATGTGGTTTAAAAATTTCGTAATATATTTACCACTTAATACCAAGTCTGGTAGTGTTGGATTCATTTTTAATGTTCTCAGAGCGTCACGTCCATCACAAGCACAGTAAATGTCAAATTCTTTTTTCAACAAACCGGACAAATAATTTCTATTTAAAAATTAAAAATAATTAAAAAATACTTAGAATTAACTAAATTAAGATTAGCATATATATAAATTTTGTTTCTAGACAATAAATACCTCATATCTGTATTATCATCAACAATAAGTACACGATATTTTTTGGATTCATTAAAGCCAACAGAAATATCATCAAATGGAAATTGATATTTTTTCTTTTCATCGTCAATACTACTCATTGACATTCTTTTTCCTAAATCGGCTTCAAAATCATCATCAATATCCATAGCATCTTTGTCACCTTCACCTTGCATCACAACATCAGGATCATTATCATCATAATCAGGTCTTTGTTTAGTTTGAATCCATTGATGAGATTCTTCAAGGTACAATTCTCGGCTATTAAATAATTGAGCATCATGAGATAAAGCAGCTTTATCATCATCATCAGTGGGAAAATGTACTTGTTTTGGAGGTAAATGTTCACATCCAGTAGGTATACATATTCTAAAAGTAGTTCCTTTTTTTACTTCAGATATCACCGAGATATCACCACCATGGCGGTTCACTAATTCTTTTACTAAAGCTAAACCGATACCAGTACCTTCGTGACTTCGAGATTGACTAGATTCAACTCGGTGGAAACGTTGGAATAAATTTGGGATATGATCCTTTGGAATTCCAACACCTAAATTTATTGATGTATTATTATTATATTCAACTTGTTATGTGAAAAAATTAAATAAAATAATAATAATAATAATTAATAGTCATTAGAAATACCTGTATCCGAAATTTCAAGAATGATAACTTCCTGATCATCTTTATGATTTAAATACAGACGAACTGTGACATTTCCTGTCCAAGTATGCTTGAACGCATTGGAACCTTAATAAAATACAACAAAATTAGCAATGCTGTATAATACAATAACAATAGCAACTATATAATTGATACTATTATTAGCTATTACCAATACTTACATAGGTTAAAAACAATCTTTTCATACATATCATGATCGATAAAAACTTCACGTTCCAATTTCTCATCAAATTCTTTTTGACTAGGAATATCAATGATATAATCCAATTGTAAAGATCTTGCCATACTCTCAAAACATGATGCTAATTCGAGTGTAATTTTTGCAATGTCAGTTTTTTGGAAACGAGCTTCTAATCGACCAGCTTCCATTCTAGAAAACTTTAATATTAAAATTTATTGATTGAGGTAATTAGTCTCAAATGTAGAGTTGTTTTTTTTCGCATAGATCATCTAAATAAATAAATTAATTAAACGAACCTGTAATAAAGTATTTACAAGCTTAAGTAGTCGACGAGCGTTACGATTAATCAACTGAAGGTTAGGAAGAATTGGTGAATCAGGAGAACACATGGAAATAGCCTCTTCAAGAGGTGAGAGCATAAGAGTAAGGGGTGCTACATAAATTTAAAAAATAGAAGTATATTAATAATTATTATTTAAGATTTCTTTTAAGGCAATAATGGTTATTAATTACTAACTTCGAAACTCGTGACTAATATTTTGGAAAAAGTTAATCTTTTGACGATTCAAGTCGGCCAACATTTCAGCTTGTTTTCTTTCTTCTTCACGTGATTTACCATGTGTCATGCTTGAGCTTACGTGTCCTACAACGAGCTATTAAGAATAACCCAATTAATACAAGATAATACGAGATAATACGAGTGACACGCGAAACCGATTTAAATAATAATAATCTTCATATATGTATTACCTGTAGGAATCCCATGTATTCACGATCAAGAGCTCGCCGTGGATTAATTCCACATATCATAACAGAAGTTAAAACGTTCTTTCCTGTAGAAGTAGCCACTGGTAACAAAATTGCCTTATCACCATTACTTAAGGTAACAATTTCATGCTTTCCTGTACGTACAACTTGTTGTAGATAAAATGAGATGTCATGAATAGAAGCTGCCTGGACATTACTAGAGATACTTAATTCCAAATTATTATCATTATTATTATTATTATTATTAATGGTAATAGTTATGCTATCCTGTATTTCAGATAGGAATTCTGGTAATGTTCTTTTAGATCGACCCTTTGTAAAAACATATTCATCAACACCATCAGCACCCTCAATAGTTTCAAGACCTTCATCATAAGTTGTAGAGATAAGACGAGCTATTCGAGATTTATTAGTTGATTCATCAGATTCAATTAAATAGATAATGGCAAATGGTATATCTTCACTGTTATCTTGTAATGTTGCAGCTACCATATGGCATGAACTTTCGATAGTTTTAGCACCTTCCAGAATAAGAAAGGGAACGTGATTAATAAAATATAATAATGATAAATATAAATATAAGAAATTGAATATAAAATAGGATAATTAAATACCTGGGGTACGATTGCCCAATTCACCAAGGGTTTTTAATCTCCTTGTAGCCAATATTCTTTGAGTGGTCTCCTGTACGGCATTGAAGACTCCATTAACGGAGCCATCAGCTTCAAATATTGGACTTAAAGTGTATGAAAAGTAGCATTCTTCAACGTAACCTTCTCGGTGCATTAACATAAGGTTGTCATCTCTGAATAAACCTTGGCCAGTGGTCATTACTCTAAATTAAATTACCAAAATTAAATTAATTAATATTATAAAATTGAATTAATTGATACCATAAAATTAAATTAATTGACATCATAAATTATATAATTATATTAATTGATGTCATAAAGTTATAGATAACTATTTAATTACATACTCCTGGAATTTCGGTCCGAGATCTTCATCATAAATTTCAGACCAAGCTTCTCTTGCTGGAAGACCCATTGCTATAAAAAAATGGGTTCTTTATTAATAACTTTGACGATCATTAGGTTGAATTGTCACGTGAATAATTACCTTTCGGATGTTTCGTTTTCAATATGGGTCGATACACTTTAAAAATGGTTAAAATTGATCAATGAATTAATTTAATTTGGTTAAATTGGTTAAATTAGTCTATTTTTTTTTATTTTCTTTACGAATTAACAAATTAAAGCTTACTTTGATTATATATTAAGATTAATTCTGGACCACAATAAACAGCGATGGGGAAAACGGAATGTAAACATAGGTCCTAAAAAAAATAGATATAAATGCATTTTTTAATATACAATTTTCAGTATTTGAATTCCCTGTTAAAAAGAGAAAAAAAAGAGAAAAAAGAATGATAATTACCACAGTCGACTTTAAGGAAGGAGCCCAACTGCTCATCGGCCCCAATGGAGTTTTCGACCAGTCGAACGAGTAGACCAATTCATTCACCGGTATTTCATCGCTATAAAGGTCTGAATCCCCGGTTGATTCATCCCCTAGCAGTGACATGTATCCTTTTTATTTTAATTTTAAAGATAGTGACAATTAAAGAAAATTTAATATACAAGGAAAAAATTTTCATTAGTTAATTAAAGACGGTAGAATTGATGAAGTTTAGAAAATCGTGATATAAATAATTAATAAAGTCCGAAAAAGTTTCCGGGGAAAATAAATAAACAAAAAAAATCAAGAAAAATTTGTGTAATCAAAAAAATTCATCTGATATCGGATCATTTATCGTCTAATTTTAATTTTAATTTTTTTTTCTTCCTACCTGACCATGGTTTTGTCCAGATATATTCCGATTGTTTGGTTTCTGTCATGTTTAGTCAGACACTAAATGTTGTATTTTAAAAAAGGATATTAATTAAAAATGATTGTGATAGTTATTTTTACAATTTTGCGCGTCGTCCTTGCGTTTTTTTGAAGGGCGCAAAAAACGAAAAATCAAAAAGACCAGGCCAGACCGTTCCAGACCTCAGCAGTGCATCCCTTTTTGTAAGTTTTGCGAAAAAAAAGGGTCGATCATGTAGGACAATTCATTTTCTATTGCATTTATTCTAATATACAAGCTAATTCTCAAATTTTATTTAACTAATCGTTGAGATTTTTAAAAGTTTAAATTTTATTGTATCACAATTTTAAGAAGATCTTTACCATTATATGCTTAATGTTAAACGGGCTATATGCCAGGAAAGTTTCCTTTAATATAATATGCATGCATTACCTAAGCATAATGTAATCTGCTTACTTAAAAGAGGATTTGAAAACGATAGGATTTAATCCCTTCATTATCAGCTATGATAACCGATTGGTATAAATATCTTTAAGAGTTTCGTAAAAAAATTATCAAACTTTTCACTTATAAAGTGTTTTAAATCACACCAGGAACGAATAATAATATATAGCGGATGCGTTAACCTGCACTTCCGGAGTTCAGGCTTCGGATGTTTATAGTTAATCATTTGTTAATTGATGTTTATTGATGTTTAAGTTTGATGGTATTTTGAAACTGTAATTAATTAAGCTGCAGGATGTAAATATTTTTAGGTGTGAAATTAAGATGGTGTAAATTGTTTTGATTCCGAAATATGCAAGCTTACATTCAATAACGCATATTGAAATGACGAAATTAATTTCATCAATTGTTACCATTTCCCACGCTCAAGCTCCCGGTTAGTAAAGAATCAAAGATGGACGTACTTTAAATGTACATGTGACTATAAAAAGAATGAATCGGATGTTTAAGATTCCATGAAAAAAAATAAATCCGAGAACGCCAATGTTATGCAAAGTCATGAGATATTTTTATTCAATAGACTTTGGCTTAGTAGTAACGAATCCCCTTTTTAGCTTGGAAATTAGATGTTTTGTGTACGACG